GTTAATGTCTTTTAACCTTGAAGGGATGAAAAATATCATGTTTTTACTACATATAATTATGTTTTGTCCACATGACTCGAACTTTAATTTAGTGTCCTCTACAGGTATTACAGGTAAAAACGGTTTGTTTTAGCGACAAATAGCGCCTCAACTCCATGTAGTTTATACTTTTTAGGTATATTATTAAAGCCCGTGATCACATCGTTTGCAAAATATCATTTTTGCCGTACTCTTTGTCATTTATGATTGTACCAGTTTTCCAAAATCAGTGATATAAGTGTAATGACTATCACCCGCGGTGTTTGATACAATTAGCAAATCGATATGGTCTTTACGTTCTTCAGCGGATAAACTAAATATTCAGATTTATTATGTATATCTTTCAATTTTAGTCCCTAAACACTGACTGAAGTATGCGGATTATTTTTTTCGAAAATTTTTAAATCCGCAATTGGTGTTGGGAATGATAAACCGAAGAAAGCATAAGAGTTTTCTGTAGACTTATAGTTGTGACTTACAATATTCTTATTATCTCCTGTCACGTTCTTCGCCAATATAGCCCATTTGAAACATTGTTAATTTATGTTTTGCGGGTTTATTATAGCTTTTTTCATTTTAATGTCATACGGCAAATCAATATATGAACACCCACCTAAAGGTTGATATTTGTAAACACCAAGTAAAATACCGTCTATATTAGAAAACGATAAATTACTACCTTTTCAGTATAGCTTTCCTATTCTTCTAATAATTTCGTGTATGAAATATCCACAGCACGATCATTATCATCATCGTTAATTAACTCGACTGCCGACGTTTTAAATAACCTATTTTCGTACTTAGTTTCATTATTTGGTACGGTATAAGTCGTCTTAAGTTTAGGTTGAATTTTATCGGCGCCATTTCTTTAAGACAGTCGCGTAGTTTTTCAACTAAATCGTCTCTTGTTGCCGACATAAACGATTCATACCCAGCTACGTTTTCAATATTCTTTTTGTAAAACATACAATTTGACTATTAAATGATTTACCCGTTTTATGAAAACTACTCGTCGTAATGTCTTGTAATCGTTTTACCTTTAGCCGTTTAAATTTAATCGTATTGTCAGTGTTACATTGTTTGTGACGTTTAGGACTAATTACACTCGGACCTGTCTGTATTCTCTCCGTAACATTTACATTTTCTAAAACAAATATTCATATATTTATTTTAACATATAAATTTTTAATAATATATTTTCTTTACTTACCACTCATTGACATAACCCTCGTATCAGCATGATTTCCTATTGCAATATTATAGTCTACTTCATACTTTACGAGATCTAAAATAATACACTTCTATAACACTCTACTAATATATTTTCTCTTTTAATATTACTATTTATTAAATTATAATTGTAATACTCACGGTAAATTATCTTAACATGATGCGAAAGTGTCCATTTGTCCGAAAAAATAGATGAACATAAATAACACTTCAATCGTATACCATCATGAATTTTTCTATACCTCATCAAATAGTTTTTGGCGGCATACACTTTTTCACACTTGTCACAAGAAAACATTTTAAGATATTTAACTGACACAACACTATTAATTTTACTCGAGTAATAATCCGTCTTTTATGCGAAAATACTCATTAAATGTGTAATGTGGTTTTAACCGATTTTATTAATCTAAAAAAGAATATTAAGAACATGTTTTAATATAAATAAAAAACAAATACAAATTTAAATAAACAAAACATTTACCTAAAAAAGAATAATTAATTACACGACGTTTACCACACATTTATATTATTAAGGGAAACACACTAAAAAGAACTACATATAACAGATAGACACTGATAACACAATTATAAAATATCAACACAATTACACAGATGGCGCTAACCTAAAGTTTTTACACCTCCCCCTCAGAGGTCTCTTTTCTGGGGAAAAGGAGACAACTTAACACTATGAAAAAAATTTGACACTTTTTTCTTTTTTCCACACCCTACTTCGTAGAAGGAAGGTGAAATTTTCCTCAGTATCGGAAAAGGTCCCGTTCTAACTTTATCCATTTTTCCTCTGTTTATTTTATTCCCATTCTCAATGTATACTTCATCTCCAACATTAAATTCATGTATTTTCCTATTTCTATCAACTCTTTTTTTGTTGATTTCAAAGTTTTTTTTCGAATTTTCTAATGCTTTTATCCTGTCTGCCACCAAATTATTCTTGTTAACTATGTCTATGGGACTAATGTTTGTCTTTTCCCCAAATAATAAATAAGCTGGTTCGAATTTTGTTGCACTGTGAATTGTTCGGTTGTACTCTTTAACGCATTCTTCAGCTATGGTTGACCAAGCTTGTTTTCTACCTCCATTTATTTTACATCTTATCCTATTGACTAGAGTTTGATTTATTCGCTCATTCAATCCGTTTGACTGTGGACAATCTACACTAGTAAACATTAACTGAATATTTTTTTTATTCAAATATTTTTTTAGTTCATCAGAATTTAATCCAGTGTATTGATCCGCTAATAATACAGTAATTTTATTATTTGTCGCAACTGGATCTATAAGGTTTATAAAGTCCTTGGCACACTGTCCCTGAGTCGTTGAAATCCAGACATATCTACTAAAATGGTCGATTAAAATATGCATATACTTTTTTTTAGATTTATTATTTTTAAACCCACCAACTGTATCGATAGACATTATCTCAAAGGGTTCACAAGCAGGACCAAGTTTTGACATCAAGCCAATCAATCTACTCCTTCTTGTTTTATTTTCTATACAAATAGAACAACTTTTACAGAAATCACTCACCAACATGTCAAGATTTTTAAAATAGTAATATGGTCTTATCATTGCACACATTTGAGAAACCCCTATATGGCCATAACAGTCATGCACTGATTCAATTATTTTTTTTCCCAAATCTACTGATATGAATATCCTAGATTTTTCTTTAATTTTTTTAAAGATGATATTACGACGTTTTTCGGTATTCTTGGCAGATTCTAGTTCTAGTATATTATTTTCCTGATCCACGAGTATCTCTGAAAGCTCAATTAAATTTACCACCCGAATAACATCTTCGCTTTCAAAATATTCCAAAACTGGCTGTCTTGAAAGGAGGTCTGCTAAAATATTATCTTTTCCTTTTTTATATATTATTTTAAAATGAAATTGAGACAGATAATGAACTAAATCACCTAGTATTTCATCTGTTCTAGATTTAGTTCTTAAATTCTCTAATGGTTTGTGGTCACTGCACACATTGAACTCACGACCAATTAGATAATACTGCCAATATTTAATTGCATCTTTAATTGCCTTACATTCTAAGTGAATAATATCCATTTTTTTTTCCTTTTCGGATAATTTCCGGGAAAAGTAAGCAACTGGATGTAGTTTTCCATCTGATTGTGGTTGTTTTAATGATGCTCCTATTCCTTTATAGCTAGCATCTGTTTCAATATATACCTCTTTATTTGTATCATAAATTGCTAAAATTGGTGTTGAGCATAAGTATTCTTTTATTAGTTTAAAACTTTTTTCACACTCATCTGACCAATGAAATTCACTATTTTTCTTCAACAAATTATGTAAGGGTTGAAACTTTTCAGCACTATTTTCAATATATTTCAAATAGAAATTTATTGAACCTAACACACTGCGTACACCTGATTTATCCGTTGGTCTTTTCAAGTTTCTGATTGCAATAAGATTCTCTTGTGCTGGTGAAACTCTATTTTCTTGTAAGACATGACCCAGATACTTAACAGATTTTGCAGCAAATTTACATTTAGCTAGCTTTAGTTTAAACCCTTCTTCTTCCATAGTTGCTAAAAAACTTTTGATATGTTGCATATGTTCTTGCCATGACTTTGAAAAAATTAATATATCATCAATGTAATTAATACAACATTCATCTAAATTATTTCTTCTTATTATATTCGAAAGGATCCGTTGAAATATTGCTGGAGCATTTTTAAGTCCAAATGGAAGAACTTTAAACATAAATTTTCCAAATTTTGTAATAAATGATGTCTTTTCTTGGTCTTCTAATTTTAAAAGAATACACCAAAATGCAGAATTTATATCGATTACAGTAAAGTATTTACAATTTGCTACTTTATCAATTACATCATTTATAGTTGGAAAAGGGTAACTTTCTGGTATTATTAATTTGTTCATTTTCCTAAAATCAATACAGAGTCTTGACCGACGTCCATCTTCTTTTTTGTATGCCAGAGTAACCGGAGATGAAAAAGGAGAGTCCGATTCTTCTATTAAGTCCGCTTCTAATAACTCTTTTACTTGTATTTTTATTTCCTGTTCATCCGGAAAAGAACATTTGTAAGGACGCGAGCTAACGTATTCATCTCTTATCAATTTAATTTCTGCTTGTCTTGATTTTACTCTACCAACATCAAATTTGTTATTAGCAAATATATGAATATAATTTTTTACTAATTCTTTAATCTGTAATCTTTTTATATCATCTTCTATGTGGTCTAAATTCATCTCAAATTCTTTTACATCAAAATTTTCTTTATAATTAATCTCTAATTTTTCCTTTAAATTATCTTCTTTTTCTATTTTGTTTTCAATTTTTTCTAAATTTTCTAATTTGGTAATTGTATTTGAATTAATCTTTTGTAAAATATTTAGATTATGATCTTGAATTAATTTGAATGTTTTAATAGCATCCAAACCTAATAAAAGGTCATAAGAAAATTTATTATTTTTAACAACATATGTATTTAAATAATTTGTAAATTTTCCAATTTTTAAAATAAGGTTTGCCCGTGCTGTACAGAAATTGAATCCATTGATTGTCTTAAAAGCAGATTTGTTTTTCTTTAAACTTGATTTTAAAATATCTACAACTTTTTGGTTTACTAAGCTGACATTGGAACCACTATCATATACTGCTTTTATAATCATTTTATTATCAACAAGTACATTAATTTTAATCAATGAATTTAATTTCTCCGGGCATTTTAGTTTAAAGATTTATTATCTAATTCAATATTAATCATTTCTGATACTTGATCAGTCTCAGAATCATTAATTGCTTCATTAAGATTAACCTTAAATTTAGTAGTGTATAAATTTTTATTTCTACATTCAGTTGTAGGATGGAAACGGTTTCGCCACCCTAAACTTTCACACATATAACAAGGTTTCTTAAAGGTTTCACTTATCTTCTTCTTTTGTTCTTCAGTTCTACCCTTAAAATTTTCAGTTTTTATACTTGAATTTGTACTTGATGCAACCTCTTTTTTTTTTGTTCTTACTGAACCTTCTAATTTTGCTAGTTCAGTTACCAATTTTTCCATCGTTGTTATTGTTTCTCGGTCAAGTTCATCTTGAATCTCTAAAGACAACCCAACTACAATCAAGTTAATTCTTGACATAACTGTCGCATTTTTCTCAGCTTCTAAACATAATCTTTCTTTAGTCAGAGCATAATCTACTAGAGAACCACCCAGGTATTTGTAATTAAAGGCTTTTCTTACATTAATCCATCCTTTATCAACAAAAATTATGAGAAATGAACTTTTCCATTCATCCCAATTTACTGGACCAATCTTTTTCAAATTTGACTCATACCAATCTTTAGATGACCCATCTAAAAAAAATCTAAGTGCCTCAATCTTTTTGTTATTATTTATTTTGTGTCGCTTGCATTCATTTTCAAACTGTTCTATCCATTCTGCAGCATTTTGTTTTTTTTCAAACTTTTCTAATAAAAATTTTTTTTCAACTAAATGTAAAGAAGCTTCCTCACTTAAACTAAGTTTGTTTTCCAATTCTTTAATTCTTTCCATTAAAATCATTCCTTCTTCAAAACTGTTTGACTGAATAGTGATATCAGACATAGAGTTTATTTCTTCTAACGGTAGATTTTTAAAGCATAAATTATCTTCTTCATCAAAATATTCTTTCTTTAGATCTTCATCTATTTTTAAGCCAACTTTGCGAAAACCATTAATCGGTTTAATTGCATTAATAGCACTTCTTATCGTAGATTTTGACAGTAAAATTTTGTGACATTTAATATTTTGATACTCACTTGGCAAAATACACCACAAAATCTTATTTTCTGACAAACCAGCTACCTCAAAAACGTCTTCCCCTCTTCTGATAATATGTATAAATAATTTTCTCTCTTCCTTCTTTATACTCATCTTCTTTTAATATGGTACCTTCAGAAATGTAATTAATTTGTAATGTGGTTTTAACCGATTTTATTAATCTAAAAAAGAATATTACAAACATGTTTAAATATAAATAAAAAACAAATACAAATTTAAATAAACAAAACATTTACCTAAAAAAGAATAATTAATTACACGACGTTTACCACACATTTATATTATTAAGGGAAACACACTAAAAAGAACTACATATAACAGATAGACACTGATAACACAATTATAAAATATCAACACAATTACACAGATGGCGCTAACCTAAAGTTTTTACAAATGTAACAAAATAAGCTATGCAAATCGCAAAACATATATTCCCGTAGACTAACCCATTCCTTCACCACTTAAACATTTTTNTGTAATGTGGTTTTAACCGATTTTATTAATCTAAAAAAGAATATTAAGAACATGTTTTAATATAAATAAAAAACAAATACAAATTTAAATAAACAAAACATTTACCTAAAAAAGAATAATTAATTACACGACGTTTACCACACATTTATATTATTAAGGGAAACACACTAAAAAGAACTACATATAACAGATAGACACTGATAACACAATTATAAAATATCAAAACAATTACACAGATGGCGCTAACCTAAAGTTTTTACAAATGTAACAAAATAAGCTATGCAAATCGCAAAACATATATTCCCGTAGACTAACCCATTCCTTCACCACTTAAACATTTTTAACTCATAATTATTTATTAATTACAATTTAATAAGTAATTTCTATTAAACTATTCATCTCTTCATAGTATATGACCTCCCTCCTTCTTATGTGGTGGCGAACTACCACATGTAGATTTATTCTTAACCCCCATACTTGTGATATCTACTGATAAGAGAGAGGAGAGTCCCCTCCATTATCCTTCATGGGAAGGGGCTACTATGCCTTTCACCATATTCCCCCGGCCGTTTACATCTCCCGCCTACTTAGAGATAGGAAACGGCCAGAGCCGTTTTGGGGGGATATCCAGCTCATAAAATATACAACTACTACTTATATATACTATAGTATTACTTACTATAATAAGTGTATAAGTATAATAATATTTTTACTTGATACAGTAATAACAGGCGCAATATCAAAAGATATACTAACAGAAATAATACAAACTGTTTTGTGCACTGGTGTTTTACGTGTAAGAATAGTAAAAATTATAAGACCCTTGAAATCTGTTAACTTTAAGCTTTTTAAAAGTTAATTATTAACTAAATATTACTTTATTGACTACACGGTAGGCAATAGAAGGAAGAATTATAAAATGTGATGAAAAACTATCATATATTGAAACAATAAAAGACAATTTAATACACATTGTATAGTTTCAATAATAATAATTTAAGTACTTGCATGATGACAATTGTAATATTAAATGATTAGTTAAATTTTCTCATTGTATTTGTTGAAATTGTTTCGACAGTAACTGATGTGTACTTTTGCATTTATTTTGAAAAGAGAGTGTTCAAAAATTAAAATTTTCTCTGTTGGAAACTTAATATTCCTACAGGTTTCAAAAGCTTTAGAGGGAATAACGGTTTTTCCCAGAGATGAAATAACCTGTTCTGGTGAAAGTTCTAACATATGAGTTGTAAAGATTAATAAACCCCATGCTCTATGTATGTGTCCCAATAAGTATTACATTCGCGATAAGCCAATGTTGCTCATTCTCTTATAGAAAGATTAAAAATTCCAAGATAATAATAAAAAAAAAAATTAAACATGGTGAATCGATGGAAATTATAAATTTAAAATTTGAGTGGATAAAGACCCTATTAAATATATTTTATCGCTGCATCATAATATTTCAGACATTTTCAAGAAAAACAAAATAAGAAGCCGTTCAACTTAATATGCGACGCAAGCGACTTGTCGTAACACAGTAAAATGTAAAAACATAAACTGGAGAGAGGATGAGGAGGTGGTGCCTGCTGTCTAGGTATTCACGTGCGTGTTGTCGTACAGCAGTCACCGTGCTCGGCTGACACTCCGGGTTAGCTGTGGGTGTCGAAAGGCTGTTAAGTGGTATAATTACGAGTTCACTACACGTATAGTAATTTGTAATAAATTTACGACCTCTAAAATTATTTATAATTTAAAAATAATAACAATACGTTTATCCGGCAATTCAATAGTATTATCAACGTACTTGCACCATAAGTGTTTTAGTAATGTACTAGATGATAACTAACAAATGAATCCACCAATAAAATTCGTATATTTAATAAAACTAGTGATATCAACGATCTATAAAATTAAAATTAAATATCAAATAATTAAAGTTATATGAAAAAGAACGACCGTTAATTTTGAAAGTAGTGTTTAACAAAAACTGTAACCATTTATGGTACATACCAGAGGAAATAGTTGCTCTAGCATTTTTTGACGATTCAATTTCAATCGATATAAAAAAATTAATGGTTGTATCACTTAATAATGAGTATTATTAAGAATAAGGTATGTTCGAAGAACTTTCAAAGTTTAAAAATAAGGGACATCTTAGTGCAAAAGGTAACCTCAAGCGTAGTAAAAGATAATATTTGTTATATAAAAATGAAATAAAATGGTGAAACATTAAACTAATAGACATACACGTGTGTTTCATTTACACAACAACTCTGTATTAAACAGAGCATAAAATCATTCATCATTCATAAATGATTAGGTAAAAACACTATGTTTCTAATGCTTTATGACAGCAGCTTGTTTATTCAATTTCAGTTACTGTCAAATATTCGAAGAATTTAAACGTTTCATTTTTTTAAACCCAAAAAATTAACTATCAAATTGAGTTTGATAGTTCTTAACTTTTCATCAATGTATTTTTTTTTAATAACTATACAAAGGAATTTACTTATGTAATTCTTTAGTCCATAATATATTATGCATTATGTTACTATATATTACTATAATAATTTATACAACTATTAGAATGAATAATTTAAAAACTGATGAATTCAACAACTGATTNTATTATATAAAAATGAAATAAAATGGTGAAACATTAAACTAATAGACATACACGTGTGTTTCATTTACACAACAACTCTGTATTAAACAGAGCATAAAATCATTCATCATTCATAAATGATTAGGTAAAAACACTATGTTTCTAATGCTTTATGACAGCAGCTTGTTTATTCAATTTCAGTTACTGTCAAATATTCGAAGAATTTAAACGTTTCATTTTTTTAAACCCAAAAAATTAACTATCAAATTGAGTTTGATAGTTCTTAACTTTTCATCAATGTATTTTTTTTTAATAACTATACAAAGGAATTTACGTATGTAATTCTTTAGTCCATAATATATTATGCATTATGTTACTATATATTACTATAATAATTTATACAACTATTAGAATGAATAATTAAAAAACTGATGAATTCAACAACTGATTAGTATTTAANAATAATTTAAAAACTGATGAATTCAACAACTGATTAGTATTTAATTATAAAAATAAGATAATGTTTTGTCAACAAATTTTTTTTTACTATGCACTACTAATATAACTGAGTAAAATATAAAGACTCAAAATCGTACAATGTTTTCTGTAAATATAATTATTTTTTAGTTCATTACAACGTTATTATTTATGATTGCCAAAGCGGAATAAACAATACTTATGACACATATAACATGGCTTCAAATTTTTAAACATCCACGACAGTTACATTTTGTGCTACTTTGTTTTGAATCTTATTATTATTACTATTATTTAGATTTGAATGTTCTAAGTCAAATTTTATATAAGTCACTTGCATATTTAGATAGAGAATTATAAACTAGATTGAAATATATTAAAATCTCTAATATCGTGAATTATGATGTTTTTTGGTACATCTTAAATTCAAATTTATACTATTTTTTATTAAAACCGTAAAAAAATGTTACATATAGTTGAAGATAATGCGCATAATTTTTCTTAGGTCACCTGTATACATTTTTTGCAAATCAACTTAGCAAATAAATTAGTTAAAAGATGACTGAAGTTAATGCAACGACCATAACAGCCATTGATGTTGATTAAATAATATCATATTTACTGTTATTTGGAAATTAAATTCGAAAATAGTAACATAATTTATTTAAAATACTCAACGTTAAAAATGTTATTTTTTTATCATATTCACCATATAAAGATTTTATTTTAACATTAAATATTATCGAACTTGTGTAATTTATAATATGAACCATAATAATTATAATTTGAATTATTCAAATTATGTATAGGGGAGAGCGGGGTTAGTTGTTACAATAGAGATATTTTGATCTTTAAATTGTGGTAGCATCGTGCCAACCACATGCTTTTATGAAATGATTTTCCAAGTCAAATATTTTGTGATGTTATAGATTTTATGTTATCAATATCAAAATAATTTCACATTTTTATGTTTATCCATTTCAATCGTAAATTATAGTCGGCATTTTGTTTTTTTTTTTCTGGAGCAAGGACATAAGGTAAGATATTTGTGTTATTAAATATATTTTCATTAGATATTACTCTTTCATTTTCTATTTAAAAAATTACAAAAAGAACAATTTACTTTTGTGTGATTACGCTGTAAACAAAAAATTTTTGTATGAGGCTAGTTGTTACAATTGATTAGGGGCATGTTGATACAGTGTATCAACTTGCCCCAACTAGAAAAAAATTTAATTTTTATTTACAAGTAATTAAATATATAAAATTTATTTCATTTAGATGGTCAGAAATTACAAAAAAAAAAACTAATCGAGGTACAACATCTGAAGATACATATAAAAATGCTGCAGCTGAAGTGTTATCTAAGGAAAATTCGCTGAGAAATGCTGCAGAAAAGTACCAAATAAATTTTATGACACTTCAAAGATACATTAAAAAGCAATCCAATCTACCTTTGAAAACCAATTGTAAAATGATTGGATATGTGAAACCTAGGCAAGTATTTTCAGAAACTTTAGAAGCTGCTTTATCTACTTACTTGATTCATTGTAGCAGAATCTATTATGGTCTTACTCCATTGGACGTTAAGTTGTTGGCATATGAATATGCGAAAGCAAATGATGTTGCTTATCCCAAAAACTGGGATGCTCGTAAACAAGCCTCTAGAGACTGGTTTACTAGTTTCTTAAAAAGGCATCCCATGTTATCTTTACGTTTACTTGAACCAACTAGTCTTGGAAGAATCACTAGCTTTAATAAACAGAATTTCGGTATTTTTTTTGATAATCTACATAGTCTGTATGTGAAGTATCAATTCGAAGGGCATAGAGTATGGAATGTTGACGAAACTGGTGTTACAACCGTGCAAAAACCAACGAAAATTATAGCAGAAAAAGGGAAAAAGCAAGTTGGTAAGGCNATATTAACTATCAAATTGAGTTTGATAGTTCTTAACTTTTCATCAATGTATTTTTTTTTAATAACTATACAAAGGAATTTACGTATGTAATTCTTTAGTCCATAATATATTATGCATTATGTTACTATATATTACTATAATAATTTATACAACTATTAGAATGAATAATTAAAAAACTGATGAATTCAACAACTGATTAGTATTTAATTATAAAAATAAGATAATGTTTTGTCAACAAATTTTTTTTTACTATGCACTACTAATATAACTGAGTAAAATATAAAGACTCAAAATCGTACAATG